AGCTCGACAGTGCTGAGATCTTAATCCCTGCACCACCAGGGAGGCCATTCCGAAGTAATTAGGTCTTCCATAAATTGGAAACAAACCCAGCAAATATTCTTTGAACTTATGGTACGTGCTGCTACAGAACTAGACCCAACAGATTGAGCAGATTAAAAAATCCCTAACTGCACGGCATTTCTGTGAGTTGTGGAGACAAACAATACCACATATGCAACAAATAATTTCACAGAATGACAGCTGCTCTGAAGAAAATAAACCAGGGTGATCAAGTGGAGTGTAACTGGGATAGGGACAAAGAAGCGAGAGGTTATATTAAGTAGGGTGGTGTAGGAAGCCCTCCCTGAGGGGTAACACTTGAGCAGTGACTTGAATGATGAGAAAGGACCAGTCATGTGAGTATCTGGAGAAGAGTTCCAGGTAGAAACATGGCAAGTGTAATCATATAGTTATCTTTTTATGAGTACTTTATTTTACTTAACATAAAGTCCTCAAATTTATCCACACTGTAGCATATGACAAGATTTTCTTCCTAAGGCTGAATAATATTCTGTTGTATGTCTATGCCACACTTTCATCATCTATACATACATCAATGGAAATCTGGGTTACTTTGACACTTGGCTATTATAAATAATGCTCTTGTGAACATGAGTGTGGAGATAGCCACTTTCAAGTCTTTTGGATGTACACCCAGAATCATATGGTAGAGCCATTAAAGTTTTTTTTGGAAGTCCCATACTATTTTTCATGGTGGTTACATCATTTTACATTTCCACCAACATTGTACAAGGGTTCTGGCTCCTCTACATCCTTGCCAACAATTGTTATTTTCTGTTGTTTTTTTTTTTATAGTAGTCATCCCAATGGGAATGAGGTGACATCTCATTGTTTTCTATTTGTGTTTCTCTCATGATTAATGAAATTGGACATCTTTTCATATGCCTGTTGGTCTTATCATTGGAGAGCAATGTCCTCTGCCTATTTTTAATAAGGTTATTTAAATTTTTGTTGTTGGGTTTCAAGAGTTCTCTATATATTCTGGATATTTGATTTGCAATTACGTCTCCCTTAAGGTTATTAAATAGGCATGTTTTCTCTGTGTATAACATTTAAATCTTTTTTTTTTTTTAAGATTTTATTTATTTTTGCATAGAAGAACTGGGGTGTAGGCCAGAGGTACAGGCGGGTGAGAGGATTCGCTAGAGACAGAATGGGGAGCAGAACAGGTTCATTTGCTGAAAATACTCTGCTTTGGGGAGCAACGGGCGTGACAGGAGAGGTCTGCTACACCATATATGGGTTAGCTCCCTGGTCAGGGATCGAACTCAGGCTGCCACAGCGAGGCATTGTGGTGACAGCGCTGAGACTTAACCTTTAGGCTACCAGAGAGGCCTCCTAACATATAATTCTTGATATCTATTCAAGTGTACAAATATGAACACTAAAACAAACTATACAACGTAATTTCCCTGCAGGCCTTTAGAGTTTAGGATAAATGTGCTTGTCCTTTTACTGGTTTAAATGCAGTTTCACCATAAGGAATGGTATGGACTGGAAGAGTCCTGATTTTAAGAACAACATGTCATTGTGTCTGAGATACAACACGGTGATTATAGTATACATACACTGTCATTTTTTGTTTTATTTTCCCTTCTTTAGGATCTCTGATTTCCTTACCAAACTTCACTTGAGTAAAAGGAACTTAATGTAGAATTTTATATTGTGTGAGACATTTTTATTTTGAAATTTTAGATTAACAGAAAAGTTCAAGAAATAGTATATTCAGGCCTCCCTGTGGTGCAAGGGGTGAAGTCTCACACTCTGAAGCTATCAGCAGCCACTGTAGCTGGAGTTCAATCACTGGCCAGGGAACTAACCCACATGGAACAGCAGACCTCTCCTGTCTCGCCCGTTGATCCCCTCAGCAGTGTACTTCAGTGGATCTGCCTGTTCTGCTCCTTACTCTGTCGTTGGTGAGTCCTCTCACTTCTCAGCACCTCTGGCCTACACCCCAGCTCTTGTATGCATAAATAAATAAATCTTTAAAAAAAAGAAAAAGAAATAGTATATTCAGCCAGCTTTCTCTAATGTTAACACCTTATAACCATAGTAAAAATATGAAAGTCAGGAAATTAACATCAGTAAAATATTATATAAACTAAATTGCAAATCCTAGCCTTACCAGTTTTTCCGGTAATGTCCCACCTTGTAGCTATATCTCCTTACTCCAATCTATGACAGACTTTCAGTTTTTTCCTTGTCTTTCATGATCTTAACACATTTGACAAGTACTAATCAGCTATTTGGTAGAATGTCATCTAATTTAAATTTGTCTGATACTTTCTTGTAATTTAAACTTTTGACTTTTTGGCAAGAATACCACAGAACTGGTGTTCTGACCTTCTCAAAGCACCCTATCAGGGGGTATATGATGTCATTTATGTTTTGATCTTGATCACTGGGATAAGGTGAAATCTGCCAGTTTTTTCCACTGTAAAGTTAATTTTTTCCCTTTGTACTTAGTAAATACTTTGAGGGAGATAGAGACTCTGCAAATATCTTCTCCTCAAGTATTTTCTCTCAGTACTATCATTATTTATTTTGCTGCTCAAATTGTTTCTGTTTTGGACACTGGAAGCTCTTTCCAGATTGCCATGTTTCTTTCAGGAAAACCATGGGAGCATCTTCTTATTTTCTGGCACCATAAGATGTTCCATGTTCATCTTTTATTTTCTCTACCCCAGAGAGAAGCAACCACAGAGACCAGTAGCAATGGCATCAGAGAATAGTATTTAGAAACCAAGATCTGGGTACTGGCATGCGCTTCTTTGTATCTGTGCCTCTAAGCCCCTCAGCTAGAGGTATGTGTATATATACTAACTCATACATACATACACATCTGTATTTACTTCTATGGGTATCTATCTTTGAAAATCCTTTGACTTCATATCAGGCCTCTGATTCCAATTTAATACCCCTTTTCAACTTCTTTCACCAAGAGTGAAAAAATTCTCATTTTATGTTTGCTATACTAGTTTCAGAATTAAGAATTCTGAAAGATTTATTAGAGTATGATATTTGTTTACAGTTTATCTTCAGCTTTATGATATCCCATGAAAATATTTTTCCCATGATTATTTAGGTTAGTTTTTTCCTCCCTCATTCCTTCATGTGGTTTTGTCATTTGTTTGTAATGCCATTAGAGTTAGAACACCAAAAGAATATTAGAATTTTAAAAGGAAAAAGAAGTAGGGTATATATTGAATCAAGGAAACCTTACTTGGATACAGAATGTGGTTGATTAAATTCTTCTTCTATAGCAATGTTGCTCTCTTCAAAACTGGGAATATCAACTGCTTTTAATGAAGATGCACTACCTGGAGGACTTGTGACTTCATTATTAATATGAACTGAAAAATTCATGTCCTCACTGGAAATCTTGGTATCATCTTGCTTCAGCTGAGATTCAGGCTCTTGATCACCTGCTGCATTCCAAAACAAGCTAGCGCCTGTGGGTTAAATGATTTAAAAGATATTAAAAGAAATATTCAGCTATGAAAATAATTCTTTGACAAATCTTTGTTAAATAAGACTGGCTATACTGTTTTAACACAATTACTTAGAACTGCTTTTAGGTTATATTTCCTTAAAAATGACAGGAAGGGGTAAAAGGCAAAAAGAGAAAATGGGGGCATTCAAAGCTCTGCCTCTTCAAGAAATGAGGTTCTCTGATGTTGTATTTTACATATTAAGGTCCTGAATACAATTTGGGGATCTGTGTGCTTAAAACTGTTGTTCTGAGGGCCTCCCTGGTGGCGCAGGCAGTTGAGCACCACACTATGAAGCTGTCTGTAGCCTCTGCAGCGTGAGTTCGATCCCGGCCAGCCGGCAAGAATCCCACATGGTGAAGCAGACTTCTCCTGTCTCGCCTGCTGCTCCCCTCAGCAGTGTATTTCTTCAGTCTACCTCTTCTGTTTCCTTCTCTGTCTCCGGTGAATCCTCTCACCCTCCCGTGCATCTGGTCTGTACCCTGGTTCTTGTAAAACAGTCATGAAGAATAAATGGATAGACCTAATGGTATTCCGATTTCTATTTTTTTTCCTTATGTTCAGCCACATTCTTGGTGTTGGCTTCCAGTAAATTCTCCTTTCCTGCTTAAGTTAGCTCAAGTTTTTTATTACTTGCAGCCAAAGAATCTTAATACTGGGTAATACCGGAATTTAACTTTAAAAGGTATATGAGATGAGTTTCTTCTTACCCTCCTTTCTTGCTTCCCTCTACATGGGTAGTCTAGATAATGTATGGATTAAAAAAATATACAGAAATCTATATTCTTTTTTTATTCTCCCTCTCAAATTCTTATTCTCTAGGCTCAAATCTTCACCTGTTACTTTTGCAAGTTTTATGCCATCAATTCACCTGCATTCTTCTGACATGAGTATCACTATAAATATTTCCAAAAGCAGCTCAATCGCCACAGATATTTAGATTGAACTCATCCCTCTCTCTGTGTCTTTAACTTGCCTCTTCTTGTTTAATGCTATCACCTTTCCCTCTGTCACCCAGGTTTAAAATCCTGGAGTAACTTTTATTTTCATTTCTTTTTTTTAATTAATATTTTATTTTATATAATTCTTACATCATTTTTCATTTTTGCACAATGTATACATTATCATTTTGGTTATATTCCCCATACAATTGCACCCCCCCACACTTTGACCCTAGTCCTTCCTCTCCTCTTCCCTCCCCCTACCCCCGTGGTGTGTCTCTGGTTTATAGCTGCTTGTTGATTTTGATTTTTACTTTCTATTAATTAGTCTTTTTCCTTTTATTTTCATTTCTAATAAATCTTTTAATTTTTAATAATTTTAGTTCTCATATACCCTTCCCTCATCCAGTTTTCCCTGATGCTAACATCTTGCATTATCTAATACATTTTTCAAAATCAAGAAGCCAACATTAGCATATTACTATTAACTAAAACTCTAGACTTTATTTAAATTTCACTAATTTTCTCACTAATACCCTTTTTATGTTTGAGGCTCCAATTTAGGTCATCACTTTGCATTTAGCAGGAATAACTTTTTAATCTCCTCGCCACCATTCCTCATTTGCCACATTCAGTCAGTACTCAAATCTTATCAGCACCCTTAATGACTTCTTTTTTAAATCACTACCAGTTTATGTCCTAGACATCTTGTTAGATCATGGGGATACAAAGACATTCTTGAAGATCTCATGGCCTGGAGATAAGTACACATGTAAATAAATGTCATTTATGTTATTGATTTCTATAAAAGATCTTCAATACTGTCTACCAAAGTAGACATTTCTAATAAAGGCTCTCCGTAACAGTAATGTCGAGACTCTGGATGACTTGGAGCACTTCCTTTTCACAGTGGGCCCATACTATTTTCTCTACCCAATTGTCCTGCCATCTCTCAATTCCCTTACTGAAATTCTCCATACCCTCCAGGCCCAGAATCAATAATACTGCATAAATGAAACCTTTCCGATCCCTCAAATCACAGATGATTTCTCTTATTAATTGGGTTCAGTCTGGGAAAGTAGCAAAAACAATGTTTTATGTGGTTTCACATCTGACTTCAGGTATAGTTTTATTTCATAAGTAATAAAATGACACAAAGATTTAAGCAAGGTATAGTCTCATCATCTTGGTTTTGGTTCTATTTGGACCATGAACCAATTCAATACAAAAATTTAGAAAGCAAATGGTGAAAAGCATTAAAACAAATTCCTTATGAATAAATTAAATTACCTGTGCTTACAGCAATGCTTACACTTTTCCTCATGTGCAAACTAGGGGAAGACTGTGCTTCCATGGACACCAACTCCATTTGTCTTGCAGCTTGCACTGTGTCCTCAACAGCCGCTGCCTTCGGGGAACAGGGCTGCAGAGATTGTGCTTCCAATAAACGCTGAATCTGCAGCAATTAAAACATATTTTAAACTCACAATCAAGTAACCAACAAAATTTGCAAGAGTTTAAAAATGAATCACAAAGTACCCTAGTTATAAATAACTAATGATAAACTATTTTCTCATTTCAACTAGATCATAACCATAAAATGTAATCAGTGTAAGAAACCATCAATCATTCATTATTAAGAAGTATGTTGAGCTAAGTATAAATTTAAAAATTAAAAACACAAAGGTGTTTAGATCAGTATTCATGTTTGCTCATAATTGACACTAATATAGAAAAACCTGAGTGCTCACACTTCAAAGCAACCTTTTATTCCTATTTCAATTATAAATCAAAAGTAAGATCAGAAGTATACTCTAATTCCAAATACCAAATATCGAATATTTTTTACCTAAGAGTCTTCTTATAAAGGTTAATCAGAATTGCTTATGTTTGGCTATACTGTAACTGGAGATACGAATAATAATAGCAACAGTTACTAAGTGCTTCTTGTTTACAAAACACTGTGCTAAGAGTGTTTATGTATGATTTTTACAACAGGCCCCATTAAGAATGTACTATTAAACATTTTACAGATAAGACAACTTGAAGCATTAAAAATAAAGTTATGTGCCCAAGTCATAACTAATAAGTATCCCTAACTCTGGACATTATATATAAACAGAACCATCTATTATGGGAGGTTAGAAGTTTAAATCCTACTCAGCTAAACTTTTGGAAAAGCTATTTTAGTACTGTAAGCTTCAGTATCACCTAAAACTAAGACAGCTATGATGACTAAGACATAAATAAGACAGAGTTGTCATTTGTTAAATGCTTACTATAACAAGGTCCTACGTTTAACACTAAATCTATGTATCTATACACACACACATACACACTCATTTAATTTCATTCAAATCTAAATATAGTACCAATCATCACTCCCAATTTACAGATGAGAAAAGTTAGCTTTAGGCATCATATAGGAAACTCTTGAATAAAAGACAATGGTACTGGGGCTGAAACAGAGGGACAGATGAATGGAACAGAATACAGTACAGACATAGATGCAAGCACTTGATACTTTCATTATACAATTAAAAATGCAAAATTGAAAAGCAGAGTGATAACATAAACTTGCCTAAGATTGCACATAATTAAGGTTACATAGAAACTGGATTAGTGCCTAAGAAATTAGGTGCCAGAGCCCACCTTTTTAACTACTACATCAAAATGACTCAGAATACTGGGAGAAGAACAAGTTTAGTTATCTTTAAAACCTTTAAAATATATGTTCTCTCTGATGTTACAATTTTACTTCTAGGGATCCTGCTGTAGAGATATATAATTATAAAGGAAGATACAAGTAATAGGAATGTACACTGTAACAGTAAAACTTTAAACTGTTGAAATAATCAATAGGAAGCCAATGAGAAATTTGTTGTATATCTTTATAATATCATTAAAATAAGATAAGTCTATATACTTTTATAGAAAATATACTGTAATGCTTTTCAAAAATTTTACATAAGATGGTATCTTTAAAAAAAGTAAAAAAACTTTCACATCAACAAAATACCATGTATTTATCATAAAAGTACTTCCTACATATTTTGTATTTCCCAAGTGTGACGAGTTAAATAATCTACACAAGAGCTAGTATTCTACAATTTTCATTTTAAGTATACAGATCTCAGGCAACTAGGACTTCAAAATAAGCGTAAAAGATATCTTTTAGAAATTCTACAAGTCTTTTTTTTTCCTAACAAGACAGGAAATAAATGAGAAAAATTCTTTTCAATGTGAAATATTTAGCTACATTAAAATTTCTGCCAAATGTTCACAATCATTTGTTAAAATCCAACTTACATTTTACAACTGGAAAGAATTTAAAGCTAAGTTTATAAAACAGCAAACCTAATTTTCTTCAGGTATCCTATCTCAACTGTTATACATAATCTGAAAAATAGTATCTTTGTTTTTGAAAACTGTAAACACTATGACTTCAATTTTATAAAACAAAGATTTTTTTTCCTGAAAGATCTCACATGTATACCTCATTATACATATATTTGCATGGATATAGTCAGGATCATGGAAAAACATGAAAGTACATTTTGTGTTATTCCATTGGTAATGGAGGGAACAGTGGGAAGTAGGTAAGTTGAAAAAGGCTATCATAAAGGAAGGAAAAAAAGGAAAAATTAAGTTGAATAAGGATGTAAAGATATATTGAGACTAAGAACTGTGTCCCAAGGAATGAAGGAAGCATTTCAGTTTAATAAAATGAGTGGAACAAGTAAAGATATGCAGAAAGTGGTTCTAGAACTATTCTCTAAGGGTAAAAGGGTTAGCATACATACTATAAACAAACTAGAATTACATCAGAATCCACTCTGCAGTCTTTATATTTAGTTGTATATAAAGATTTAGTAAAATACAGATTTCATAAGAGGCAAAAAATGAAAGAAAAATTCAATTATTTTGTAGGTTAGGATATGCACAAGACAGAAAAGGCTTGCTTTCTAGTCCTGGTTGTACTCCTAGCAATGTGCTATTGAGTAAATTATTTTCCATCTCTTATCCTCATTTCACTTATCTATGAAACAAGAGAGACAAGAATTTAGTTTCCAAGGTGCCTTCTAGTTGTGACATTCTATAGTTCTACTCCATAAAAAATGACTACAGAGCTGTCAGTTATTTTTAAGAAATCATATTAACACCAAGAATTCATCAGAACTAAGAAAGCCTCAACCAAACCTGTGCTTGAAGTAGTCTCAGCTGTTTGTCTTGTTCTGTGAGGAATCTATAAGCATCCGGAGAGAGTCCCATCATTCCATCCTCTGACCCAGTCTTGGGTGTGTGCATGCAAGCTGCACAAGGCCGTGGGTGACAAGTGTCCACATGTGACGGTAATCTTGCAGCAGGCAATGGATCTACACTGCCGTGTGGAGAACCACCACCCAAGCTGCCCTGAGGTCTCAAAGCTATAGGACTACTTGAGGAGTAGAAAGCATTATGGCACAGAGTTGGACATGCACTAGAGTGAAATAATGAATGTTTTTGAAGAGCTTCAGACTGGAGGTCTTGAATGGATCCTACAGTGTTCATTCCTTGCCAAGAATTTATTGGAGTACATTGAATAGGCCCATGATGCTGACAACAACTGCAAACATTTGTGGGATAGAAAGATGGTGGAGGGGGAGTAGGTATCTGGAATTCCATTGGTCTCCCTGAATTATGGGGTGAAAAAACAAAATTATGTGGGTGGGACTGTGGGGCAAGAGAAGAAGGCTTGGAATTAAGTGTGGAGGATCTTATAGGATACTCTTCTTTGTGTACATTTCCAGCAGAAATTGTTTGAAACTTTTCAGATGTATCAGGAGATGGCCCATTAAGAGAAGACGGTTTAACACCATTCCTCATATGGGGGTTCCCTTTCTTACAGGAGGATGACTGCCTTATTTTACAGTGTCTCAAAGGAACAGTGCCCTGGTTCAACTGATTTGGTGGTCCTCTCAAGCAAGGCTCTCCAGCTTCAGTTTCCGGGCTTTGTTTCTCATCATAAAGCTGGGATTGCAAAGGCTCCAAGTGTTCACAGTGATTATTCAACAAAGGATTTTCATTATTCACCATTTCCAATGGATTGGGCAGAGGGTTTGATCCCATGAAATTGCCATCCAACACAAGTGAAAGTTCAGGAACTAATGGTTGGATCTTAGAAACCTACAATTGGGAAAGAAATAAAAGAGGAAAAAAGCATTTTTTAGCAGAAAGAGATGTGCTTCACTTTCCTTAGACCAGTCCTTCCCAAATTATGTACAGTTACTTATTAAAAAGTATTTATTCTCCAGGAAAACACTTGGCAAATATTTTCTGTGCATCTTCTATGTGTAAGACACTAGGAACACAATTATGAGCAAAATAAACAAGGTGCTTATACTCGGCAGAACTAAGCATTTCACACTTTTTCAACAATGGAACTCCTTTTATTGGAACACTAACATTGCTTATATCACAGAACACAATATAGGAAACTGTTTCATAATATTCAGGGCATTTTTTTAAACTCTTTCTCAGCAAAATTTATCACAGGGGGCCTCCCCTGGTGGTGCAGCAGTTGAGCACGGGGCTGTGAAGCTGCCCGCAGCCTCTGTAGCGCCGGTTTGATCCCCGGCCACCAGGTCCCACATGGAGCGCAGACCTCTCCTGCCATGCCCGCTGTTCCCCTCAGCAATGTCTTCTGTCCATCTGCCTGCTCTGCTCCCCACTCTGGCTCTGGTGAATTCTCTCGCCCTCCCGCGCTTCTGACTGTACCCAGTGCTTGTATAAATAAATAAATCTTTAAAAAAAAAAATTTATCATAGGTAGTATACCTCAACAGATCTAGTAGCAAAAAATGTTTTTGTATGTTAAATAACAAAGGACCCTTCAATAAATATTTCAGAATATTGTTCTATTATGTGAAGTTATGCACCATTATTCCTTCTACTAATGCCAACCAAGAGAGTTGGAAGACAGCAGGAAAGAGGAAATACTCAATCACTGTGGTGAAATTGAGTGTGATTTGATATTAAAAAAACAACTCTCCTTCTAATAGTAATGAGTCTAATTAAGCTACAATAATTCTAAAATAACCCACTAGTTGGCTGCAATCAAAAAATTATAACAGGGGTTATTAGGAATTAATCTCCAAAAGTCAGTAGACTATTTTTTCAGAACAAAATAATAAAAACCAACATCATGCTCTTGTGATAGTACAGAATATTGAGTCTACAGTGGTTAACAACATCTGAGTTAGAATTCCAGCTTTGCTATATATTAGTGGAGTAACACTGGGTAGGTAACTTAACCAATCTATGTCTCAATTTCCTCTGTAAATAGTAAGTATGCACACTTATTATACATGTGCATATATGTATATATAAAATCACATTTATGGTTACATGTAATGATTATATGTACCTGAGAGGAATGATATCTCTACATATAGTGCCATAACAATATAGACACCTAACATATCTTAGAATGAAACTTAAGTTTTTGAGTTACTTTAGTAAGTAAGATACTGAGTCCTTTAAGATAAAGAGACTTTCAGGTTTCTAACTACAAAAGTGAGTTCTACACAAGATGAGTGATACCTTCTGACTTACTGGATGAGGACTAGGAATTGGTCTTGGAGAAAAATCTTCATCTTCAACACCAGAATCAGGATCATTTATTGGCATTTTCCCTGGAGATAACGTTTGGGAAGACCTATAGAGGGGAAGATAGTAAGTCTTCAGTAATTTAGTGTTTGTTTCTTTTTGAAATTGAATAAAGTGCTTTAATAAGCCATGGTAGTATCTGGATCATTTAATTTAGCATCTGACAATCACAAATATTTTATTTTTCAAATCAATGTTAGTTGCTCAGGAAAGCTAACTCTTTGGTTGATCAGGACAAGTTTAACTCACTTATTCTTTTTATTTTTTATATTTTATATATTTTTTACATCATTTTTCATTTGTGCACAATGTATGCATTTTCATCTTGGCTATAGTCTCCATACAATTCCCACCCTCCTTTGTTTTGATCCTACTCCCTCCTCCCCCCACTGTAGTGTGGCTCTGGTTTATAGTTGCTTGTTGATTTTGATTTTTACTTTATTATAATTAGTCTTTTCCCTGGTCCCTTATTTAGGTTTTCTAAATTCCTGCTATGAGTGAGACCTCTGGTATTTTTCTTTTTCTTTCTGGCTTATTTCGCTGAGCATGATCCCTTCCAGCTCCATCCACGTTGCTGCAAATTACATGAGTTTATCTTTTTTGATTGCTGAGTAATATTCCATTGTGTATATGTACCACATCTTCTTGATCCAGTCATCTATTTTTGGGGCATTTGGGTTTTTTCCATCGCTTAGCTATTATAAATAGTGCGGCTATAAACATAGGGGTGCAGGTGCCCTTTTGAATTAATGTTTCTGTGTCCTTTGGGTAAATACCTAGGAGGGGAATTGCTGGATCATATGGAAGCTCCATCTTTAGCAGTCTGAGGAATCTCCACACAGCTTTCCATATAACTCACTTATTCTTAGTGTCACAATAAACCAACAGTCACTGAGCATCTTCTGACTAACCACTTTGAGGAATGTAAAATTAAAAAAAAAAAGATGACCATAAAAAAATTGTAATCTGATGAGATGTACACTTACTGTATTAAACACACTGCATTAAGCACTCACTGTATATAAGAGGAAAATCAAGTAAGAAATTATATTTTCCTATGAACTTGTATCTTTGAGACATTACTTTGAGGCATTAATTGGGGCACCTCCTCCTTTTTAGTCAGTTGTAGTGATTATGTCACAGGTCACAAACTCTAGGAGAACACAGGAAAATTTTGAGTGCTGGTATTGAGTTAAATTGAAATGAGTATTTAAGATTATACAAATGAAATTTATTTTGCATCCTAAACTGGACAAAGTATCAATAGGATGGATTAGGAAAATGAAGGAAAAGTCAGAAGGAAGTTAAGAGAGTTTAGATACTAATGGAGTCCCTAAGAAAGGGTCCTGTATCCTGTCTCCCTAGCAGAGTAAACCCCATGACGATCTGGAAGATCTGTCAGCAGCAGAGACCTCTACCTAAACCCCGGTAGTCCGCAGAGCCACACAGAGTTCTTTATATGCCAAGTTGTTGCAATGAAACAACCAGAATGTTTGCATGGTGTGTTTAAGCAGAAAGGAATGCACCAGTCCCACAAAAGCAAATAAAAACAGCAATAGTTTATGAACTAGAAAGCAAAAGTTTATGAACAAAAAATAAACCATCATTTTAAGGTAATTTTTAACTGAGGTCATTAACTATTTGCAAATATTAAATTATGGACTCATAGTAAGGAGAATATTCAACATTCCATCAGTGGAATATGAAGTCCATGAGGGAGGGGATCATGTCTGCCACCATATCCCCAGTCCTTAGCATATTACCTGGCATGAAATAAAATGCATGAGAAGGCTGGAATAGGAGCACAAAGAGGTAATTCTGCATGTCAGCCTGGCAAAGTCATTCATGCCTTGCCCAGATATTGTCATTGTCTTGTCATGACCCAGATACTAGGTCAAATATTATTCTATATCTAGAATAATAGTTCTGTGAAGAAATTTTCTTTATAAGAGATTAACATTTAAATCAGTAGGTTCTGGGCCTCCCCGGTGGCGCAGTGGTTGAGCGCTGGGTTGCAAAGCTGCACGCAGCCTCTGTGGCGCCGGTTCGATCCCTGGCTGCTCCCCGGCCACTGGAGGAGGGTCCCACATGGCGCGCAGACCTCTCCTGCCGCCCGCTGCTCCCCTCAGCAGTGTACTTCGGTCCTTCTGCCTGCTCTGCTTCCCGCTCTGGTGAATTCTCTCACCCTCCCACGCTTCTGACTGTACCCAGTGCATGTATAAACAAACAAACAAACAAACAAGCAAACAAATAAATAAATAAACATGCCTCTATAAAAAAAAAAAATTTAAAAAAAAAAATAAATAAATAAATCAGTAGGTTCTGAGTAAAGCAGATTATTCTCCCTAATGTAGGTGAGCCTCATCCAATCAGTTGAACACCTTAAGAAAACAAAGACTGGCCTCCCCAAGAACAGGGAATGCTGCCAGGAAACTACATTTGGAATCTAACTGCAACTTTTCTCAGCTGCTGTCCTACCCTACAAATGTTGGACTTAACCACATCTCCACAACTGCATGAGCCAACTGCTTAAAAAAAAAAAAAAAAATCTGTGTGTGTACTGTCACTTCTGTTTTGTTAGAGAACCCTGACTAATGCAAGGAAATATTTTCTTTACCACAAAAGATATAAAATGACCCCCCCAAAAAACAAACACTGCTATTTAATCAATATTCCCAAGCTCCAAAAGTTTTAAAAAACCATTTGGGGTAGATGTTTGGGTCATGAGCATAGGTGGTTTGGTGGAGAGAAAGAAAAAACAAGCTGTTTTCTATTTTATCTGGCTTGCAAGACCTTGATTTTTGTTGTTTTAAAATCCAGGCTCTCTTCCCACCCCACAAATGAAACTGTCATCCTCCACCTAAAAAAAAAAAAGCAAACACCTCATTTTACCATGTCAATAGATGCAAAAACCCCCTTCACCAAACGAACAAACAAACAAAACCCAAAATAACTACACCTTTTTTAGGTACATGAATTCTTTTTTATGGTAGTTTGTCTGATGGTTCAGGCTTAAATATAACAATGATGAGAAAAATAAACAGAAGGCAAATTAAATAAAACAAGATGTTTCCTCCAAAGCAAGATTTCTTGACAAATACCTTTCTCCCCATGTAATAAATCAACTCAAATGAGAACCATATTAGAGTTGTTACTTCATTAAAATTATCATCCAAAATCTGAATATGAAGGAATACATTTAAAGCAAAGATACGTATCATACATAACATACACAGAAGTAACTAGGAAGTTACTTTAATTACTCATATAAAACTAATGAGTGTACTTAAAAAGTAAATGATAATAAAAACATATCTATTACCTCTTAATTGAAAGATTCTTGGAAACTTTGTTGAAAAACTCTGTTTCTGCATTTTGGCTTTCAGCTCTCAGTTCAAAATGGATTGGTTTTGTGTCAGAAGGTTCAACATTCTGAAAAGAAGCAAGTCATTATTTTGAGACGCTACTTAACACCAGAAAATTCTATTAGATGAAAAGTATCTCTGAAACACTGGGAGAAGGACTTATGATTTCTATTAACTTTAACCTTCCTTTATTTTTTAAATAACATTTTTACATATAACATATTAGTTTCAAACATATAATTTTACATTTGTATATATTGCAAAATGCCTACCATAACAAGTTCAGTTAATAACCATCACCATACAGTTATAAATGTATTTTTCTTATACTGAGAACTTTTAAGATTCCATTCTCCTGGATACTTTCAATATGTAATATACAATATATGATACACAACACAAATATTGACTAAAGCCACCATGTGGTACATCACACCCCCAGGACTTCTTAGTACCTTCTGACCATTGTCACTCAATTTTGTCCAAAACTACCAATCCCATCACTCCTTGGCAACTATCAATTGGTTCTCTAGATCTACAGGTACAGCTGCCCTTGATATACTCAGGAAACTGGTTCTGGGACTCACCACAGATAACAAAATCCAAGAATATTTAAGTCCCTTATATAAAAGGGAGTATTAGTTGCATAAAACCTACCCATATCCTCCACATAGATACCTAATATAGTTGTTACACTGCACTGTCTAGAGAATGACTGTAGGCGTTCAGTACAAATACAACCATGTAGGTGTAATTACATAATATTTTCAATCTGAGATTGGTTAAATCCACAAATGAAAAACCATGGACATGGAGGGCCAACTGCTTTTTCTTCTGTAGAAGATTCCACAGAATCTTCTTTTTCTTTTTTTTTTTTTTGTCTTTTCTTTTTTTTTTTAATGTGGGGTATAGGCCAGAGGTGCGGGGGGTGAGAAGATTCACCAGAAAAAGAGTGGGGAACAGAACAGGCAGACTGACTGAAATACACTGCTGAGGAGAGCAGCGGGTGAGACAGGAGAGGTCTGCCGCATCATGTGGGTTGCTCCTGCCCAGCCGAGGATTGAACTCGCACCACAAAGGCTGCAGACAGCTTCACAGCACTGCGTTCAACCCCCTGCACCATCAGGGAGGCCCCAGCATTTGTCTTTCTGTCTGATTTAAGTCACTTCAAGATCCACCCATGTTGTGGCAAATGACAAAATTTCCTCCTTTTTTTATGGCTGAAACATATTCCATTGTGCTTGTGTTTGCATACTTTGTTTTACTGTGCTTCATGTTACGCCATTCTTTGCAACCTCTAAGTCTGTGGGTGATCCTCATTAAGCAAGTCTGTCGATGCTATTTTTCCAATGGCATGTGTTCATTTCATATCTGTGTCACGTTTTGTAGTTCTTGCAATATTTCAAACTTTTTCATTATTATTTTATCTCTCATTAGCAACTGTGTTCAGTCATTTTTGATATATTATGTTGTAATTATGTTGATGCGATAATTATTTTGAAGGGGCCACAAACCATACCCATGTAAGATACAAACCTAACAGATGTTTTGTGTGTTATGACTAGTCACACAATATTGAAATTAGGTAACTGACAACCCTACAATGGCCTCTAAGTGTTCAAGTGAAAGGAAGAGTCATGAGTCTCTTACTTTAAAATCATAAGCTAGAAATAAGCTAGTGAGGAAGATAAGTCAAAAGATGAGATAGGCTTAAAAGCTAGGCCTCTTGTTCCAAATAGTTAGCCAGGCTATGAATACAAAGGATAAACTTTTGAAGAAAATTAGAAGTACTACTACAGTGAACATACGAATGATGAGAGAGAGAAACTGTCTCACACTGACATGGAGAAAAATATAGTAGTATAGATAGAAGATCAAATCACAACATTCTTTTTTTTTTTAATACATCATGAACTCTAGTGCCTACTTTTGTATACCGAGAACTTTTCATTTTCATTCTTTTTTTTAAAAAAGATTTTATCTTTATACAAGAGCTGGGGTGCAGTCCAGATGCACAGGAGGGTGAAAGGATTCACCAGAGACAGAGTGGGGAGCAGAACAGGCATCAGTAGTTTTGTATTTAAGAATTTTTTAAATCATTGGTTTGAGACATAGAACTACTCATTTTACTGAGCTCTTTGAATGTTTTCATAAAATGACACTTAGGGTTTTGATGATCTACTTTTTCTGTGACCATCACCTAAGTGTACTTTTATATATGTATTTAGATATAAAACAACATATTCTTATTGCCAGAATAGCCATAATGCTATTGCATACTTTTTATTACAGACATTGATTTTAAAGGTAAGAAGCTATTTGTCATACCTATACATTTTTTATAATATATTGTATTTTATATAATTCTTACATCATTTTTCATTTTTGCACAACATATGCATTTTAATTTTGCATACCTATACATTTTAAAAATAACAATCAGGGTAAAGAAACCACCAAGATGAAAATTAACCTTCAATATCATAAAATAATACATGTAAATTCTTGATACAGTCTTTGAAGACTTTAGAAAAACATGGGCAAGATACTCTGTGGGTAACATCTGATCCTGTAATATAATTCAGTTCTGAAGATATAGTCTAAATTTTATGAAACAAAATTAGCCTAAAGCAAATAAAGCTAATATTCACTAACACTGATTATAAATAAACAAAGCCAAATAGTTTGAGTTACTATTTTAAAGGGTAATGAACACTAGGTCACTAATGGACTAGATAAACAAATGACTTACTTTGAAAAAATGTAGTGTTTCCTTGCTGGTTATTAGCTGGAATCGAAGGTTGGGTAACCTGTCATTGCAATGGAGGCATTCATAAAATTCAGGATCCTTATGTGTCACAGAATAGAGAACTACAATGAAATTTCCAGATTCTGAAAAAACTCTGGGGGAAAAAAAACACATTTAATTAAAACTTTCTGAGAATAGCAGGAGTATACTCAGTCCCATATGAGTCTCTCAGTACTGTTAACAGACTGATGAAAGAGTCAAAGTTTAGAAGAAAACTTGACAGCAAAAAAAAAAAAAAAAAAAAAGACATAAAATTTATTTTATGTAATATATAGTTCCTATAAAATTTCATATAAAATAGGATTGTATAAAATGAAAGTGAAAACCACCCCATCCTACTCTCAAGTTTGTGTATATACTTCCAGAATTTCACCACAGGCATACACAAATATTTTATACAATTTAACAAAAATGAGACCATACTATACAAACTATTTGCAGCTGCTATTTTTTATTTGACTATCTTGGGTTTTTTCCCAAGTTACTATTCCATATTATCCCTCAAACCTCCTTATTCTTTGTTAATGACTATCCATCCAACATTATCATTATTGATTCTCTAGAGTTCTAAAGTAGATATTTAAATTATTTATAATATTAGACTATTACAAACTGATAAAATGAATATTAATTTTATTAATCACTACATGACTCAAATTTTATAAAATCATCAAGAGTTCTCTAAGC